CCACTGCCTCCAGATATGGATTGATGGCCCCGTTGTACAGCTGCTCCAGGCTGGTCAGCACCACACGCAACGCCTCGCAGGATAGGTCGAAGCTGAGATTTGTGTTCCGCCGCAGGGCGTCCACAATCTGATAGACATCCGAGGACTCCACCTTCAGCTGGCCGCCCCCAGTGGCCCCCTCCTCAATCCGGCCCAGACTCAGGCCCCGCTGCCGATGCGACGGACTGTCGATGCTGTCCAGCGCCTGGCTATTGTCCGCACTATCCCCATTGGCCTGGCAGCCATCGTCACTCGGCACGGCGCTGGCATCGTCCGACTTGTCCGGCGCACTGTCCGCCTCCTCCTGCTGCAGCTCGTGGTGCAGGCCGGCCGTGCTGCCGTTGCCGTTGCCATTCCCTGCACTGCTGCGCAAATTCGAGGCCGAGGCAGATGCGGAAATGGATGCAGAGGCAGTGCTGCCGTTCGCAGGCTTATGCTGCTGGCTAATGCTCATCTGGCTGGTCTCTTTGTATGTGGTGACCACATCCTCGCTGGTCGTCGTAGTGGTCGTTGTCGTCTCCGAGGGCTCCGAAGTGATGCTATTGTCTTGCGCCACATCCCCGCCAGCGGACGCAGCCGCTTTGCTCGATGATGATGCCGATGCCGATGCCGACGCCGAAGTCGATGCAGTGGGTGTGGCTGAAGCTGCAGCTGGCGATGGCGATGACGATGGAGCCGGGGCTGGCGGTGCTGGGAGCGGCTGTTGCTGCTGCGGTGTCTGGATGGTGCAGCTGCTGCCCTGGAACTGCATGCTGCCCATGCTGGGCGACTCGATCATGCCCTGGCCTTGGGGCGGGCCGCACGAGGAGCCCACAGCCGGACTGGACATGCTCTTCTTGCTCATGTCTAGGCGCTGGGAGCCACCACCACTGCCGCTGGGCGGCGGACTGTGCTGTCTGTGCTGGGAATGTAGATGCGTCTGGGACTGGGTGGGATGGGGATGCGAGTGTCGGTGGCTGCCTTTGTCACTGTAGCTGTGCGAGTAGGACAGCGAGGAGTCGCCATCACGCTCGGAGCTCTCCTGCAAATGGTGGGCGATTGAAAAGTGTTCTGGGCCACGTGGCTAGGTTGCACTTACCGCATAGAGTCGCTCCATGGTGTGTTTCTTCTCGCGCAGCCTATCGAGCAGCTCGTCCTTGGACATGATGCCATTGATCTCATGGTCCGTGCACTTCTCCAGCGATTCTATCGAGGAGTTCAGAAAGCTGATGAGGAAGTCGTGCTCCACCTGTTAAATTTCGAAAGTGAGTAAGTAGCTCCCATGTTTTGTGCTGTGTGTGCCCACCTTAATCTTCATTACGTAATTGGAGGGCACAAATCCAATGTTGCCCTTCATGCTGACCACCTGCCACCAATTGCGCTGGCGGGCGGATGTCTGGTACAGAATGAAGTACTCGCCCTCATCGAAGCTGATGGTCTTGGGGTAGACCGCCTGGAAGTCGTACAGCGCCTTGAGCATCTCGATGCCGATGCCGCTGCCTAGTCCGGTGTCACTGGCTTCGCCTCCGCTTCCTCCACTGGGGCCACCAGCTCCTCCACTTCCTGCTGCTGCTTCTGTTGTTGCTGATATTTCAACGAAAAAAAAAAGACTTATTTATTAGAACCGAATCAATGTTGAAAAATTGAAATTGAATTGAATTTTTGGTTGAGGGCGTCGGCACTCACACAAAAAACACACACAGCAACGGCACAGGGGTAAAACTGCAATTTTCCGCTAAAAAAAAAAACCGTTAAGTTCACTGCCGAGGGCCAAACTGCGGACTGCGGACTGGTATTCCCTTTTCTTCTTATATTTTTTTGCCCTTTTTAGAAGGACTCCGCAGGACTGCACTGCAGAATTCCGCAGGACTCACACACAGCCGCAAAGCAGGATACTCCCGCTCCTGGAATTTTTAATAGAGCGCCCCCACACAGGAAAAGGAAAATGCAATTTTCATATTTTACTTGCGCTCGTTCGCTCGCTTTTCCTTCCCTGCTGCCTTTCCCGTTTCTGCTTTGTGCGCTGCTTTTTGGTGCTGCAACAACGCCTTGCGCTTTTGATCCTTTTCAGCTTACATTGTTTTCCCCACAAACACAAACACGCCCGAGAGAGCCACGTGGCTTCTGCGCTCTCCACTCTCTTTTCTACACCAAAAAAAAAAAAAACTAGAAACTAGAGGTTTAAATTTTTGCATAGTACTTTTATAAGTAAATAATTTTAATTCGAATTGAATTCTACATTTGCCTGCGTAAAAATGTGTATATTTTAAAAAGTGAATAGTGTATTCCTCTGGTAATGTCCGAGCTCGGATTTAGCCAGCTTAACATCTTAAGCTCAATAAATGTTGTTTTAAAAAAAATATATATATAAAAAATAATATAAGAAAATATTAGTACATATGTAAGCTTTTAAAAAGAAAATACAGAATCAATAAATAATTTTTTCTTGTGTTTTTTGGTTGTTGTTGCTTTGCGTTAAAATCTCAACACGGACAAATCCGTTTCAAAACATATCGCCCCCTCCACTGCCCCGCCCACTGAAGCTCTCTTTCTCTCTCCACGCGCGCGCATTTCCCTTTCTCTCAGGACTTGGATATCCTTGCAAGAACGAACCTGTTCATATATTAGCCAGTGAATAACGGCACCTATAGTAGTATTATTAAAGATATACATTTGCATTTTTTTTTATCACAATTATCGATTTATATTTTAATTTTAATTTCTTGTCAGTTTTGAAATAGTTTAAGTACATAAATATCCATTTTTTCTTTACATAACTTTTGATGAAGATTTAAAACGTTCAATTTATTGAGAATGAACTGGTTCATAAAATATCCTGTGAAGCCCATATATGATGGTGAATATTAGTAAAGTTTTTTATAGATTTTGAAATGTTTTCAAATATTATGTTTTTTTAATTGAAACGAGATACATAAAATATAGGGTTATTGCAGTGATATTGATAGTTTTAGAGTTTTCTATCTAAATAATGTTTATCTAATCTAGATAAACATTTGGATAGGTACAAAAAAACATATTTTGAATTCTAATGTACATAGATCTAATACATATACATATATGTATGTTATTAAAATAAAGTTGTTTTTTATTAAAGGCGCATCTTTTCAGTATTGCAAAGAATGGATATAGTTATATCTTTGTATTATCTAAACGGTAAGCTACCTGCTACGGCTTACACCGATTCCTGAACTACAAAGTACCGTTTTCGCGGAGTAATGATTCCGGAACTTGTAAAATGCACCTGCTGGACTGCTGAATGCATCTCTGGACATACACAGACACAGCGAAAGCGGAAATAATGTATGTAAATTGCGACAATGGGGACAGGACAACAAAAAGGAGGTGAAGAGAATATGCACGCCCACTTACCCATCTTGTTGGGGCGCACCTTTTACAGTAATTGCGTTTGTCGTTTGTTGTGTTGTGTTGTTCCCGTTGTTTGTTGTTCCTGTTGTCAGACGTCACCTATCCTTCGTCCTGCTGCCTCCTCCCCTTCCGCTGCTGACGTCCACGAGCCAAGGACGTTTGCATATGTACAAGGGTATGTACTATACGTTCGCCTTCTTTTTTTGTCCTACCAATGGGCGTGATTCCTCTTTCCTTTTCCTGCTCTGCTCTTCTCTTCTTTATGCCGATGTCCTTTTTGGGCGACAGTTAGTTCCGCTGCGCCATCACTTGTTGTTGTTCCCTTTGGTGGCAGCGCGTGAATGAGAAAGCGAGTGCGAGTAAATGTAAATTCACTTGATTAATTTCGATGCGAGATGCGATGATGATGATGCCGCTGCTGCTCTCGCCAAATGCGATGCACTTGTTTATGTCTCCTTTGCTCCTCTGTCTATCTGTCGCCGGCGCGATAGGGGGAGGGAGGCGAAGAAAGTGGCAGGCAAACAGTGCTCACTCGATGCAATGACCAATAAAAACAAAATATACAGTCAAGACTGACAAAAAAATTGTATTTAATTAACACGCAACTGGAACATTATTTATTGTAAATGTGCGTGTAAAAAAAAATTTAACTTGTTCACATATGTATTAAACATTAAAAAAAATGATGGGCGTACAACAACTGAATCCCTTTTATAAAAACATCACTGTTCACTCTGTAGGGAGAGCACTGTTCAAAGAATGGGGCAAAAAGGATGAGCGACAAATTGTTGTTGGTTGTTGTATGTGGTTGCATCAACAACAAATTAACATTGTTCCACACCCAGAAAAAAGCCGCAAGCAAATGCTCACACACGCGCACAAGGGTTAAAGGTGACTTGAGTTTGTTTATATTTTGCTTTTAAGAAGCATTAAATAACAGGACAACCCAAAATAAGCATTACCAAGCCACACTAACTGGCTTTACACTATATTACCGAGTTAAAGCGGCGCGATCAACAAATAAACATTATCCAATCACTTGTTTTTATTTCCCCTTTTTGTGGCATTGTTTTTTTATATACCTTAGAGGTGGGGCCAGGCCGGCCCTGTTATCGTTATCGACTTAGGTATCGGCGCTGTTCAAATTGGCGGTAAAATTCAAACTAAAAAAGAGCTTTTTCTGTTTTTGTTTTTTGCAAAACGTTTTTTTATTTGCACAGAATATTTAACTTGGTTGTGGGGGACAGTACATACGGTGTCTTATATCAAAATACTGTTTATTGAGGGCAAGCAAATAACTGGGGTCTGTTGGTTTAAATATAAAAATGTGTAATTAAATGCTAGCAAATTTTTTGGTTTTTGTGAAACGTTTTGCCTGTGGCACACATATACATATATATTTCTTTCGATTGGTTATAACCTTCACTTTATCCTTGTAATTTGCTATTTTAGTCTACCTTTCGCAGGGAAACCCCATTGTGAGTTAACGTTAACTAGGCATACATCGTATATGTATTGTATATAAGTACAGTTTCTCGTTTAAGAAGGCATCTTATTAAAAATCCCTAAGTCACAGGTGACCCGATTCTATTTAGTTTAAAGATTCAACAATTTTTTCCGTTTATTTGCTTGCTTGTGGTCACAATAAATCATAATCGTATCATAATGGTGAAACAATCACATACACAATAAATTATAATAGCACAAGTGTTGGTTTAGTTATACTTATCATATTTAGTTTAAACAGCAGGCCACTTTTAGACATACATATGTGTTTTGCGTGTGTGTAAATATATCTATTAAAAAAAAAAAATAAACAACTTTTCATTGTACTTGCACTTTGTAATAATAGGAATAATAAATATATATGATGTAAACGAAAACAAACAGAAAGACGTTTTTAACCTTGCCTCGATTTGAACTATATGTATTCTTCATATTTTTGTTGTAGGTCTTGTGGAACGGCACTTGGTTGAGATTTATGTTGTTGTAGTAGTTCTTGACATTGGTATAAAGTAGACTTCGTATTTCTTAGTTGTTCTCTATTTAACTATTGCAATTATCGGTTGCGATCGAGGGCTTCAGATCCCATCGAAACGATGACGCACCTGCTCAAGGGGAGGATATTCTGGTTGGCTGGCTGGGGATCCTCGCAAGGAATCCTCCTCCTGTGCCCCATAACCATTCCTTAGTCCATCCTCCTCCTCCTCCTCCTCCTCCTCCTCCTCCTCCTTCTTCTGCCTACTGCCTTCCGGCCATTCGTTTGCAAAGGCCACGCACGGCCGCAAAACATTTGTCCACAATTAGGATTTTGGTGCACGCTAATTGTTAATCCGTTTTAAATTATGCTAAAAATAATATTGATAAATGTTGCTCCGTTTGCCGTATCCGTTTCGTTTTGCCGTTGCCTTTCGCCGTTGCCTTTCGCCGTTGCCTTTCGCCTTTGCCCTCAACATATGCCACACTACACCCGAACGGACCCACAAAACCCGAATCACATGCGCCGGCCACCGGCGGCCAGCTGCGTTGGACGCGTCCGCAGCGCGCTCCTCGATCATTTCTCCTCGCAGCAGCCGTTCTTGGCCAGCTGTTTCTGCAGCGCCGGCGGAATGAAGTCTTTCGTTTTGGTCTTGGAATGATAGCCCTGGCCGAGCAGCGCTGGCTCCACGTGCTTGCCCTCCTGGATGCCCTGGATGCGCTTCAGCAGATCGTAGTTGATGCCCTCGCTCACCACTGAATCTTGCCTGGTTAATAATGAATATATATTTCGGATTAGCTTATATTCAGGCATATATTGGGAATATATAACATACTTGTAGTCCGGGTGGCTAAGCACCTGCTCACGCATCCAGGTGGCCGTGGTGATCAGCTCGCCGGCGGCACGCTTCTCGATGAAGCGCAGATACTGTTCAATGGTGCAATGCGTATCGGTGTCCACCTCCATGGACTGCAGATAGCTGCGGATCAATGGCACCAGACCGGGAAACACATTGGGCTTTGGAAGGCAGAAAAGTTGGCATTAGTTGCTGGCTGACTTTTTTTTTTTTTTTTTTTGTTTTTTAATTCAAAAGATCCTTACCTTGCCATTGAAGATCTCATTGATGGACAGCAGCTGGAACAGCTCGTTCTCCTCGTCATCGGTGTCGGTGTGATCGCTGTCTGCGCCATTGAAGGAGCCATTGGAGGAACCATTGGTGGTGCCGTTGCTGGTGCCATTGCTATCGCCGTGTCCGTTCATCTTGGCCGAACCGTTGGTCAGAGGAGGCTGCTGCTGCTGCTGCTGCTCTTCCTGGTCTCCATTCTCGCTGCCATTGCCATTGGCCATTGGCCCATTGCCATTCTCGGTCACACCTCCGCCATTCAAAGTGGCCTTGCCATTGGTCTGAGCCTGAGCCTGAGCTTGAGCCTGGGCCTGGGCCTGAGCCTTGGCCGCCCTCTGCTCGGTGGTCTTCGAGGACTTGCGGAACCAGAACTTCTCCTTGCGACAGGCATCCCTCTTCTGAGCCGTCTGCATATTCTCGTCCACCTTGCTGATCGGCGTGAGGAAGTTCAGTTGGTAGGAGAGGATCACACGGGTGAGCAGGACGACGAAGCACACAATGGCCGCGTTCTCAAAGTCACTGATCTGAGCCTCGCAAGGGCGGAACTCCACTCGCCAGCCAATCGAGCTGTTCGGTGGCGGCGGCTTGAAGCGCATGGTCTGCCAGTTGGTGGACTGAATATTCTCGAAATGATCCGTGTCCTCGTTGTCGTTCTGGTGCACCTTCTCGCTGAACAGCGACACGGTGTCCCGGATGAACAAGTGGGCCACATGCTGGGCCAGCAGGTGGTCAATACCGCCATCGACCAGACGCTGATAGACCGACTCGTCATAGGTGAGCGGCACATCGTTGTACTTGGCCCCCTCGGGTGATAAATAGGAGTCGATGGAATCGTATCGCGACTTGGCAATCCGGAACTTTTGCTTGTCCAGCGGCGCCAGGCCGCGTTCCTCTTCCGTGCGACAGTCCACCGAGGAGCTGATCACGTTCCAGCGGCAATCCGATTCCGTGAGATAGCCCCTGTAAATGGGCGAGGCGGCGGTCAGGGCCAACATGATGGGACAAAGGGGCGCCAGCTGGTCGTAGAGGCGGCGTGCCTCTGTGATGTTACAGGCCTGGAAGGTCAGCTGCAGGCAGCAGCAGCCCATGCCAAAGCCCATGGCATCGAGGAGCACCACATCCGGCTCCCCAGGTGGGGCACCCTCCACCGGCAACTTGGTCTTTGTATCCTTGAAAACTGCAAAGGGTAAATATGAAGATTAATTATTTAGTTAGCTCTTCAATTGGCTCTTATTAGATGACTGTAAACGGTGCAGTTGTTTAAGTTATTTTCAGCCAGCCACTGCATCGTTTACAGCCATCTATAGACACAAAACTAAATCATTGCAAGCTAGCTAAGCTAAGCAAGGTCATAAATATGATTAATTAGCTGTTCTGTTGCCCTTTTTTTTTTAGATGATTGTAAACGGCCTGCCACTGCATCGTTTACAACCAGCTTTAGACACAAAGCTATTCAGCCGCTGCATCGCTTACAACCGCTAGCCCTAAACAAATACAATGCTTACCCTTCAGCTTGATGGACACCTTTTCGCCGCGTCGCTTGCGAATGTTACGGGTGAGGGTCTTGAAGCGCGGATGACCGGGAAAGATGGCCTCGTCGGGAAAGTAGAGCGAGCGAGCGGAACTGAGTGGATCCTCGGGACGTGGCTGGGCCAGCGGATAGGTGAAATTGGGGGCACCCAGGCGCGGGAAGTTCGTGATGGACATGACGCACTCGTCCTTGCCCAGCAGCTCGGTGACTTCTTCGCGACGATAGCGCATATTGGCCTCCACCAGGTTGAAGTGGGCCATCAGACCGCCAAAGGGTTTGCCCGGAGTGCCCTCAATCATGTAGGCACCGTATTCCGGACGCCACAGCGACTTCACGCCATTGGGATCGGCCAGTTCCTTCTCGTTCAGCTGGGCCAGCAGATCCTGGGCACGCAGGGCCACTCGGGCTACCTTTTCCTCATCGTCGAACTTTACAATAATGTACTCCACCTCGTCGCCCCATTTGAGTATATCACCCTGGCGATCCTTGAGTCTGTGGTACAGGTTGATGAACTGATTGACACCGTGTTCACGCACATGATCCGCCAGTGCCTTGGTTTCCTCCCAGGATAGTGGACTGCCCTCGCTCAGTAGACCCATTGCTGCAAAGATTTAGAAAATAATAGCGATTACTAAAGATGAACTAAAAAAAAAATGTTGGGGGCTAAAATTTATGGTTGTTCCATTCTGTTTGCTGTCCAAGACCCGATTCGACCAGATCCCTTACAATCCAGTGTGACGTCTGGGACAGACTACTACGACTACTACTGCGCCATTATCACCCGGAATACCCGATACCCAGCCCACCGCCACCGCCATTGCCTCCGTTTCCATTTTCAATTCCATTTCCATTCCAACTCGCACATTGTGCAATCGCATTCGAAACATAGAAGACTGCAGTCGATGCAATAATTGCAATTTGTAATTTGCATTCTCAGTGCAATTGCATAAACAATGTGACTGGGCCACACACGGAGAAAAAAAAGAGAGCGGAAGGAAGCACAACAATATCAGTCTTCTTATCAATTTGATTCGTAATCTAATCAACCTAAAATAATAACATGAATACAGTACTCACTCCACTGGGCAAAAGTTGGAAAACAAATACTCAAGTTATTTTATGATTTGATATTTTTTAAAATCGATAAAAATTCGGTATTGCTTTTATTAAAGAGAATTTAATTTGATTAGCTAAACAAAATAATATGAAAAAAATGTCAAAATTGCATAAGAAAAATACCCAATTTATTTTAAGATTTAATTGCCTAATAAATAATAAAGATTAAAAATCATCATGAACGATTTAGATGTTTTTATCGATTACTGTTTAGCAAACATTAAAAAATGTAATACTATTCTTAGGAGTACAATTTTTTAACTAGACAAAATGGGGTTTTAAAAATGTAAATTAACCAAATTTATGTGACAGTTAGTAAGAATAAGAAGTAAAAATTTATATCGTTTAAAAATCAATTTCAGTGTTAACTTCGAAATACTTTTCACTGTGCAAGCACGCTTAATTCCCCGCCTTCACCGATCGCCAGTCAATGCCCTCCAATTTCAGTTTTTAATTCCCCAGAAATCAATTCATTTATCTACGTAAGACCACTAGTGCATTCGTGTGCCGGAATAAGTGCATTATTTCTGTTTGCTCCTCGGTCTTGACACTCGGGCACAATTTACAACATTTGACTCAATTAATTGATAAGGCGCGACGACCAAATATTAATCAAATAATTGATAAGGGGGTAAAGGCAGCCTTTGGGTATAATTCCACAGACCCGTGTAGAAATATACGTATATTTAGACAGCCGACAGGTTGCCGTGCGCCCCTCGAACATATTGAATCATACGGGAGAATCGGAAATTTCAAATCGCAGATTTACGACCGGCACCACACCACTTAATACTACAAGAAAAAAAAAACACTTCACTACAGTCCACTTCACTTTAGTTTACTTTACTCCACTTGACTTCACCTCATCGATATCCGCGATCCGCAAAAGCTTCCCCCAAATCAAAGTCAAGTCAACTAAATCCCACTGAAGCATACCAACTATAATGGCTATAACAATAATAAACCTGATTGTGGCCAAAATTCGTGAGTTACAGTGGAATTCGGAGCGACAGTTTCGAGCTCTTGACACCATTGTGTCGAACGAGTTAATTGCCAATTGAAATTGCATCCTATTATATTTGTACAGATCTCTTACAATTTTGAAACGAGTACAAAAAAGCTGGCCAACTCTAGGCTATAATTCTATTTTCACAAAGCTTACACAAAAAAAAATGAGAACTACGATTGCTTGATTAAACTTTAACGTACTTCCAGGTTTGAAAAAAAATTCTTGGAGATTTTCTTATTTTTGTTTTACAGGGATAACCTGTATAGGAAGTTGCTTTAAGATTAATTATTTACATTTTTTATAAAAAATAAAACCTTTTAAATATATTAAAAGAATATTTACAGTTTACTTTAATATTCTTGAACAATTCTATTAATATTTAAATTTGCCATCATCTTTTTCTTTAAATTCCTATATTCTGTAACATGATTTTTGGACTAATAAAAACCACAAATTAACTGATTTCCCTGCCAAGGATCTTTAAAATATCAAATATTTCACATAAACTTCAATATTATATTCACTTGAAAAAAAAAACAATGCGGGTTTTGTTCACTTGAGTTCACTTTCGTTTAGGATACCTTTTTTTTTTGTTTTATGTGGATCGCTCGTTGGCTAATTTACACTTGCGATTTACAATTGGAATTGGAAATGTTCAATTTCCGTTTCTTGGTTTGCAAATTGCTAGAAGGTTTTGGTCGCTCCACGGCCAAACGGCGACTAAATATATACGCGGCCAGACTCCAGCTTTTCACAGAGCGGTACGCTGCCGAAGTCGATGTCTGTGTATATATGCGATCGGATCGGCTGACGACGAACCGAGAAGGAATGATGGCTTCAGCCAGAACGGAAGACTAAGGAAAATGTGGAGCAGGGGCAGGAGACCATATCTGGACGATCGGATCGTCAATCGTCAGTCGATCGTCGGCCATAAACGGACTCAAGAACAAGAACCCAAGAGAACCCGAACCCAGACCCATCCATAAATGATCCTCGTGGAGCACGGGTCGCACTCGACATCGTTCGAGTGATCGAGTGCCATTATAATTATTTGAGCAGTTATATATTATATTTAGAAATACTCGACAGGCGGGTGAAAGAATTCATTCTTTTGGCGAATCTTTTGGTAATCTGTGAGAAGGGTTTATTATATATATTAGTTAATACATATTTATAGATTTCGGGGACTTTGTTGGTGATTTACCACCGCCCCATAAAGATTGCGGCGGGAAAGGGACGCTATTTTGTCCACAAAATACTCGAGCCGACACATCTGCATTGTAAATAACTGCCAATCAAGTTTCGGCTACTTTATAATATTCAATGCGAAAGGAAACGCATAGATTTCAATCAATTGCCCCTAGTATATCATGGCTTTCAGTTCAGTTCAGTTCAGTTTGCTTCGGTTCGGTTCGTTTGGTCTGTCTAAATCCGTAAATGATTCAATGCTGCGTTGGGGCTTTGTGAAACCGGAGAGGGCCTATTTACCAGAAACTCTGGTCCCGTCGCAATTGCACTTCCATTGTTTCATTCCGGAAAAGCTATATCTCAAGTATTGGTGAGTACATGGAATTTGCCGAGCAAATACCTTAGAATTCCTCCGTTTCTGGACTTCCGGAAATATTGTTATGATAGCTCCCCATTTAATTCAATGCGGACATTCTCATTATTAACATAGTATTCAAATAATAAATACGAAATCGATCTATTAAATATCTGTTTTATAAAGTGTTAACTCTTCTGATTGTGATTCAGATTTTACAAATATTGTATAGATATCGCCTTTCTTCGCACCAGTTCCAATCAGTTTATACAAACACAACTTTGTCATCACAACTTGTATACTTTGTTATAGCTTTTGTAATGCGATCTATCAGTACACTTTTACACCAAACATAATTTGATATTGTATCACTCATATACGATTTCGGCCTTAAGAATTCAGGGACAGCAGAATTTATTTATAAACATTGCATGGAACATTTGATTGAACATGGTTTATTTATATCGATTGCCTGATTCAAAACTTATCATCTTAACCCCTGCTCTTCTGGGATTTCCAATCTCGCGACTTATCATTATCATACTTTTGATTTTAAAATAGCCAGCTAATTAATCTTTTTCCATCAATCAGAATACACTCACTCCACAGTGGTTTATTTATGAACACAAACGAATGTATGACTATTTTCCTGTCCCAAAACGAAATACTTTAATTTAATTCCTTCACTTTTGGAATCTCGTATCACGGCTGGCAACCAATTGATTAGGAACTCGAAAACAATAAATAAAAACAAGTCTGCGATTTGGAGAGAAGTGCTCTCGAGTGGAGACTCGTAGGTTTAACAATGTGTATCTTTCCTGTTTCTGGCTTCTTGTGGCTAATGGCTCGAAAACGTTTGGAAAAAAGTTGGAGTGAGTGGTTAGTTGATTTGCTGGCCGAACTACTGTCTCAATTGCACAAGCATACTTGTGTGTGTTTTTAATGACATATAGTTGGTTTAGATAAGACCCCCAAGTGCCCCTCATTTGATAATTGCATTTCGCAGCGGAACCCCAAGAATGCTTACGGCATCTCCATTTTTATCTTTCCCTGGGGATTTGGCAAATTACTGAAAGGTAAGTCACCGCCTGTATAATAAGCATGTCGGTATTATCTTTACGAAATTTTCCTACAAGTTTTACACTTTGTCCACTGCTTTTGATATAAGAGCGTATAATATATAAATTTTACAATTATTATATTTATATATATATATATGTTATAAATAAATTTAAAAGTCTAGACGAATTATCTTTATTTTTAATCTACACTTCCACTTTAAGTTACATTTATATATTATTTATTTGATGCTGTAATTAGCAATATAATTCTAAATTTAAAATGTACATTTTTGTATACAATTTTATTCTCACGATTTTTGATCTTATTTTCAGTTTTTCTCTTATTTTTGTTTGTTAGCTGCGGCTGCTAATTAATGGGTAAATTTTGAATTTATCGTGCTCGCCATAATTTCAACGTCACCGCCCTCATAGATCTATATGTAAGTATAAAATACAGAGTATATGTAATTATATGTTGGTCGAGAATCGCTATACGTTTCTGATGCCTGATTTGTGATCCTGACCAACGCAATCGAAATTGTCGAAGGGCAGCCCACACAATGATTTGGTGTTTTTTGTTTTTTTTTTGTATTTATTTGTGTTTCTTGCGTTTTTTTTTTCTGCCATGTCACTTATGAGAACAGTAAGCGAAGCCAAAATGATACCATTTTGCGGGTGTGTTTGTTAGATTTTAAACTACGAAAAGAAGGCTGTGAATAAGAGGATGAGTCACTTGATTTTTGTGGCCTTTTCCCGCAGAATACATTACAAATTTGCGCACGAGAAACGATAAAAGACAATTGGGAAGTCGCATAACTGACCGGCTGACTGACTGATAAGCCAAGTTCATAAGACGCGACATATGGTCAACA